GCTAATTTTTGTGTTTTTAGTAGAGACGGGGTTTCACCATGTTGGTCAGGATAGTCTTGATCTCTTGACCTCATGATCCAACCTCCTCGGCCTCCCAAAGTGCTGGGATTACAGGCATGAGCCACCTCACCCCCATGTTGTTCTTCTGACTCAAAGCCTCCCATAGTTCAGTGAATAGGAAACTATAGAAAATTTTATTATTTTCTATGTGGTATCACTTACAATAGATCCACATAACAAAGATAATAGCTCTCCAAAAAGAAAAGGATTTATTCAGGAATGAATTGCAGATAGCAGTCCAAGAATATGCATGCTATGGCATCCCATGTTGGGATCACAGTCATACCCAGTAAGCATAGGAATGTAACAGCTTTGAAAGGCATAGTGAGGAAGATTACATAAGTTGTTTTGAAATAATTATCCTTGGTTATAAGAATCAGTAACAGGGTAACATCAGTCCAAGCTTGACTGGCAATTGTTGGTCAGACCTCCTCACAGAAACATTATTTGTGTAAGGATCGTGCTGGCCTTTGTTCAATATAGTGGTTCTCAGAGTCCTTGTACTAGTTTTTATAATAGGTCTGTGTGTTTGAGGGCCCCTTTTATATGACCTTTCAACTCCTTTTCGTTAGAATGTGGCACCAGTGACTCTATTTTGACTCTGACAGCTTTCACAGAGGTATAAAAGAGCATCTGTCTAAACTGTGCTAAAGATAATAGTCAGTTGTTAATGGGTGAAAACAACTCAGAGGATGCCATTCAATAAAAAAGAAAGGTAGAGAAAGCAGTCTGTAGTTGTTAATGGAAAGCTGACAGACACGGGAACTGTCAAAATGGATCCTCCACTTGAAACACCTCTTTTTTCAGGCAGTACCTATATTTTGTGGTCAGTAGGGAGTAAGTGGGATATATGACAGAATGAAAAAAAAATCAAAAAGTCTATGGAGTCGCTGCAAGAGACATACAGCCCCGATGAGTATCTCTGGGCCACTATCTAAAGGATCCTTGAAGTCTTCAGCTCACTTGCCTTGAGCCATAAGCAGGACTTCTCTGACATGCATGCAGCTGCTAGACTGGTCAAGTGGCAGTAACTTGAGTGTGCTGTTTCTGAGGGTGCACCTACCCACACTACAGTGGAGCCTCATGTGCTCACTGTGCATTTTTGCAGCTGATGACTTGAAATGGATGCTGCACAAGCACCATTTGTTTGCCAGAAAGTTTCACATGGATGTGGAACATGGATGTGGACCTCTTTGCCATCCAGTGTTTGGATGAGCACCTGAGGCCTAAAGCTTAAAACACTGACCATTATAGGCAATGTTAGGGAACATTTTATGCATCCGTATTATTTCTATTTGGTTCCTCTTGTCAATAAGCCTCAGAAAAAAAATGTATAGAGTTCTTTTTGGAGCAAGGGCGCTAAGTCTTCATGTCAGAAAAGCTGCATGGTTTCTGCAGAGCACGGTTGGCAAGAAAGGCTATAACATTAAATGTTTATCTAAAATTAACATGAGTAGGAGTAAAAGTAGCTGTGACATCAGGGCAGGCAGCAAAGCATTCTGGAGCAAGGGGGCTGGGGTGGCTAGGGAAGACGCTGATTCAAAAAAAAAAAAAAAAAAAAAAGAGAGAGAGAGAGAGAGCTCAGGGACTTAACAGAATGAGATTTGACTTGTGCCAAAACTATTTTGAGATTTTAAATATGACATTTTTCCTGGTATGAATAATTTATCTCAACAAACAATAATAAAGATACAAGTGATCTTGTGTTATATATGTTGGCATAGAAATTTGATTTTACTCAAAAAAAAAAAAAAAAAGATGATAGTAATCAGCATAGATGGAGAACAATACCAAAAAATTAAGACAAGTTTGAAAATATGACTCGCTTTGTGAAACACAGAGAACACGGTAAGAGGCTGAATTTCCTAGAATTAGTTATGGCTTCATATATTCATATGAATACTCTTCCTGCTGTCAGGGTAAACCCTTATTACTAACATAAATATATTTCTGTACCTGTCAAATTATGCTACAGAAAGACTGTTGAATCCATGTGTCCTTTATCTTCTTAGTGACATACAGATAGGGAAAACTGGAGGGGAAAGACCTAAGAACAGTTGCATTGGGAGGGCAGATAGAGTATGGCCATTCAGTCAGATAAGCCTAAGCTCAAATTAGGGTGAGCAGGACACTTTCTGTGAGTAAACATAGCCACTACCTATTAATATAGTTCAACAGGAAAGCGGGCATAAAGCAGAACTGTTCTGGGCAAACTGGGAGGGAAGGTCAGTCTAGGTCAAATCCTGGCCCTTTACTTATTAATAATTTAACCTAGGAATATCATTTAGCATCCTTAAGCTTCAGTTTTTACATTTGTTAGACATAGATTAAAAAAATACCTTATAGTGCTTTTATAAGTTTAAATAAGCCTATTAATAAATATAAATATTTGGTACGATAACTTGTACAAAGTTCTTAGTAAGTATGTTGCTGCTGCTGTCGCTGCTGTTACTGCTGTTTTCTGCCTAGGGATCTCCCTAAGCTCATGTTCCATCTCAGAAGGAGAGCATAGAATTCTCCAGTTTTAACTTATGTTAAAATTTATTGGATGCACCTGATAGCTTGGACATTTCAAGATGAGCCTCTTCACCCAGATCTCTGTGTGATGGTATTTCCCCATCTTTCCTGGTTAAGGACAGACAATAAGGAGAACCCATCCTCAGTTACCCTTCATGAGGAAAATAACAAAGGAGAAGAGCAGTCTATGGAGGTCTAGGGCTAAAAAGGATATCGTCAGAGACTTTTTATTTTTTTGAGAAGGAGTCTTACTCTATTGCCAGATTGTAGTGGAGTGGCACAATCTCGGCTCACTGAAACCTCCACCTCCTAGGTTCAAGCAGTTCACCTGCTTCAGCCTCCCGACTAGCTGGGATTACAGGCATGTGTCACCATGCCCTTCTAATTTTTGTATTTTTAGTAGAGACAGGGTTTCACCATGTTGGCCAGTCTGGTCTCAGACTCCTGACTACAAGTGATCCACCCATCTCGGCCTCCCAAACTGCTAGGATTACAGGTGTGAGACACCACACCTTTTTTTGTTTAAAAAAGTCAGAGACTTTTAAACAAATATCATCATTTTAGAATGTATTTAGATTATATTGAAAAAAAATGGGCACTCTGGTAGTTTCATACAAAGTTGATGGCCTTCTTTATTTGGTTTTGTTTGTTTCTTTTGAAATGAAGTATGGTACATTACCTTATTGGAGTCAACTAGAAAATTACTCATAAGCAGGGTTTCAGGTACATGTAATTCATAGCTTCTCATTAGCCAGAAAGTAGAACCAATATAGCCATGTGAAGGATAAATACTGATGGGTTAACTTCATCTTTGTTTTTTTGTTTTGTTTTGTTTTTTTCAGGGGAGGAGCTACTCATCCCCTGCACAGTCTATTTTAGTTTTCTGATAGATTCTCGCAATGAGGTTTGGTGGACCATTGATGGAAAAAAACCTGATGACATCACTGTTGATGTAACCATTAACGAAAGGTATCCACGGGGGCAGGCAAGGGAGTGACTAACCTTTGTTTCTCAACCTAATGATCTCGGATGTCTGTTCTAGTCAATGGAAATAAAAATTCTCATTTTTCCCTATCACTAACAAAAGTCGACAAGATTTTCGAATTTTTGGTGGCTGCATCCCAAAATCGGGTTACTGGACTGCAAGGAACAGATGCTGCCTGATGACCAGTAGAGAATTGAATTAGAATGTTCTGAGGCTGAGCATCTTCATCAGATTGTCCACAGGGCATGCGCCTTATTGCCTTAAGCCCAGTAAGATTCACACATTATGATACCCACATGGAAGTAGGGGGAATACATATCTTACATGAATAAAAAGTCCACAGTCGAGGGTTGTGGATATTTGGAAACCTATCAGTGTAGTTGTGTTTTTCCTTTTCTTGATCCTAGTGTCTGGGCCTGTGTATTTTTGTCTCAGGTAATTATGTTTTGTTTTTTGCATTTCAGTGAGCATGTATTTCCTCTCTCCTCCTCTTTCTTAACTCACATAACCTATAGTTACATTTATAATTAGTTATTTTTTTAATATTAACTAAATATATTTGTGTACTTGAAATTTTATTTTAAAGGTAGATGGGTAGTAATACAACCCACTCATAAAATAAAATAATATTTTATTCCTAAATAAACCTGACTATTTAGGGGGTTTGGCAAAGGGGAAAGTGTGAATCTTTGAAGACAGAAGATTCCACAGTAAATGAAGCATACCATTACCAAACAGGAATTGTTTGGTACAATAATTAAAACTACAATAATTAAAAATTTGCAGCTGGTCAGCTACATGACAAATGCAGCCCATTCTCATAATAATAATGAATAAATAATAAGGAAAGTCATGTTGTTCCACTTTGCTGCTATCGAAACTTACTCGGTGTTCATAGGATAGCAGTGGAGTTAAGCTTAAGCTAAACCAATCAGAGCCCTTAACCAAATTCTCATACCTGACAATAAGCCTAATCAAGAAGAGAACCTAGATGGCAGTCAACTGTAGCGGAGAGATTTTTCAACACGATGAGCAAAGGAGTTCAAAGGGATTTTAAATTTTGATGTGAGACCCAAAGCATTTGATCTCTGATTCCCTGAGAGTTGGATATATTTATTTTTACAAAGTTTATTTGTTCATAACTGCTTCCCCTTTTTATATGTTAGGATTTAACCAGGAGATTTCAGATTTCTGACCAAAATATTCTACCTGTCTTCAGAATCCATGCTTTGGGAATCACTGAAATGCATCAGCTATTCCAATGGGATAACAATAATGGCCTACATGAATATTTATTAAGTATTATTCTAATATTCATGCCTTAGCACATTCAGTCTTCAGAATTCCTGAATAAATTAACACATATAAGGCACTGTGTGGGCATTACAACTTTCCTCTTTCCAAAAGAGGAACGTAAGACGTGGAAAGATTAGTTATCTCACCCAAAATATATAGCCAGAAATTGACAAATCCTGGATAAAAACTCAAATGAACCTAGCCCCAGAAGCTTCTCTTTAAACTGATACAGCATTCTTCCTCAGAAGTTTAAGCAAAAGAAACATTTAGTTTTGAAGAGAAATCTATAAAAAGAAGCCGGTATTGGGATTCAATCTAGACAATGGGATGGTGTGTAGTATAGATGGTATAGTATAGTATTAGAATCCTACCATTAATACTTTGTAATCACTGCATGACAGGCAGCTCAGTTTATCAACCTTCCTCACCCTAGCCTGTTGTGGGGGTCTGTGGTTGCTTACTTGTCTAGTTCACACACAGTCCGTAGCTCTCCAGTCGTTCTCAAATGCTTTGATTTTCTTCCCTCTATGTCTAGTATAAGTCACAGTAGAACGGAAGATGAAACAAGAACTCAAATCTTGAGCATCAAGAAAGTTACCTCTGAGGATCTCAAGCGCAACTATGTCTGTCATGCTAGAAGCACCAAAGGCGAAGTTGCCAAAGCAGCCAAGGTGAAGCAGAAAGGTAATAGATGCACTCAGTGATGACGGTCTGAACTCCAAATGTAACAGTGTGATGAATAAGGACAAAAGGAGAAATTGAGAACAAGAGAGCTCTAGCACCTAGCCCAACGGCATCTAACCCACAGTAGTAAATCAGAATTAAATGAAAAATATGAAAGTTCCCATCGATGTAAAGATACTCAAAATATTATTTCTGATACTGTTAGTACCTTAATGCCCAAATGTAGCTTGAAAAATCCACATGATTACAATAAGACAAAATTTTGTATCTGTACAATTATGAAAAATTAAAAACAAAGAAAATATTCAAAGCTACCAATGATATAAAAAAGTGGTAGAACTGACTTGGCTATGTGGGCTCTCTTTTGGTTCCATATGAAGTTTAAGGGGTTTTTTTCCAGTTCTGTGAAGAGGGTCATAGGTAGGCTTGATGGGTATAGCATTCAATCTATAAATTACTTAGGCCAGTATGGCCATTTTCACAATGTTGATTTTTCCTAACCATGAGCATGGAATGTTTTTCCATCTGTTTGTGTCCTCTCTTACTTCCTTGAGCAGTGGTTTGTGGTTCTCCTAGCCATGTGCAGAAAGCAGAAATTGAACCCCTTCGTAACACCTTACACTAAAATTAACTCCAGATGGATTAAAGACTTAAACATAAGACCTAATGCCATAAAAACCCTAGAAGAAAACCTAGGCAAAAACCATTCAGGACATAGGCATAGGCAAGGACTTCACGACTAAAACACCAAAAGCATTGGCAACAAAAGCCAAAATAGACAAATGGGATCTAATTAAACCCCAGAGCTTCCACACAGCAAAAGAAACAATCATTAGAGTGAACCGGCAACCAACATAATGGGAAAAAAATTTTGCAATCTACCCATCTGACAAAGGGCTAATATCCAGAATCTACAGAGAATTGAGAGATTTACAAGNGAACAGACACTTTTCAAAAGAAGACATATATAAGGCCAACAAACGTATGAAAAAATGCTCATCATCACTGGTCATTAGAGAAATGCAAATCAAAACCACTTTTAGATACCATCTCACACCAGTTAGAATGGCGATCATTAAAAAATCTGGAGACAACAGATGCTAGAGATGATGTGGAGAAATAGGAACACTTTTACACTGTTGGTGGGAGTATAAATTAATTCACCCATTGTGGAAGACAGTGTGGCACTTCCTCAAGGACCTAGAAATAGCAATTCCATTTAACCCAGCAATCCCATTACTGGTTATATATCCAAGGGATTATAAATCGTTCTATTATAAAGACACTTGCACACATATGTTCATTGTGGCACTGTTTACAATAGCAAAGACCTGGAACCAACCCAAATGCGCATCAATGATAGACTGGACAGGGAAAATATGGCACATATACACAATGGAATACTATGCAGCCATAAATGATGAGTTCATGTCCTTTGTAGGAACATGGATGAACCTGGAAACCATCATTCTCAGCAAACTGACACAAGAACAGAAAATCAAACACCGCATGTTCTTAACTCATAGGTGGGTGTTGAACAATGAGAACACATAGACACAGGAAGGGGAGTAACACACACTGGAGTCTGTTGCGAGGGACTAGGGGAGGGACAGTGGGGGATAGGGAGTTGGGGAGGGCTAACATGAGGAGAAATGCAAGATATAGGTGATGGGGATGGAGGCAGCAAATCACATTGCCATGTATGCACCTATGCAACCATCCTGCATGTTCTTCACATGTACCCCAGAACATAAAGTTCAATAAAATACAGACACACACACACACATGTGTGTGTATATATATATATATATATATATATATATATATATATATATAAAGCCAGAAAAGAAAAAGTGTTAGAGCCACATATTGAATTATTAAGACCCTTTTAAAAATCAATCATGGCAGAGTTCAAGAGTCATAAAAAATATTGCATCATCTGACCTAATACATTTGGATTTTTTCCTGAACAAATAACAAAGAGAATTATATATCTTTTAATATTCTTAGAAGCATTATCTGTAATTGTGAAACATTATTAATAGCAGCCATCTAATTGTATGCAATTAATTAATTAAAGTATTAAATGTTTATCCTCAGAAAAAATAATTATAATACTATCATTTTAAATACTTTGTATCAATATTTAAGCAGTTTATAATATACCAGTTTCCACAATTGCTAAAATAAAAATCATTTAAATTATGATTTTAAATGATACAAACATGATTTCTATGTTGGTATTACTATTTCATTCTACAATAAATGAAAATTATAAAGCCTCCTTGTGAGAAGTGCTGGTCCTAAAACAGACTGTGTCTAAAATTTTCTCTGTGTCTCTCACCTAACACGGAATCCCAGAAAATCCCTTCAAGGATGTTTTCAATGTTCTTGAGAAAAATAATGATGACTTATCACACATGCAATCAGATCATTCAGAATCATCCTGGCTCCTAGTGTCTGACAGAGTGTTTAATATTTATTCAAAAGTGAAAAAGATAGCACATAATTGTTACATTTTGCAATGAGATTTAATGCTCTTTTAAAGCTGATTAAAAATAGGATTCACCTCAACCTTTCATTACAATTGAAAAAGCAAAGGCCTGACATGTATATGCCTCTTATGAAGTATTAGTGGATTGATTCAAGGTAATTCATTGCTTCTGCTCCTCAGAAGCCAGGGTGAAAGGAAGGACTGAAGTACATGATGTAAGGTAGTTTCCCAAATTGAGTTCCTGGGAACAATGCTAAGAATCAGGATTCTCCTGCATTGCATAATTATACTCTAGAGTCAGAACACCTGTGCTGAAAATCTCATTTCTGCACATTCTAACTCTGTGAAAAGTAAATCTCTCTGAGCCTCAATTTCTTTATATTTAAAGTAGGAACAATGATACCACTACCTCATAAGGTTGTTTTAAAGTGTTCTGAACAGTTATTGGCATATATACCTATATATTAAATGCTTAATAAATATTAACTCATTATTTCCATAAGATTTTCATAAGTGTTATTTGACAAAGAGTTTTATAGTCAAATAAGTGTCATTCATGTCTGGTAAGCAAAATCAACCAAGTTACTTTAGTTAGGCCCCATTAGAGTATTTAATATGTGAATATTTGATAGGAATATCTGCAGGAAATTGAATTATAGTGGCAGGATGTTTTCATATGTATTTGACTCCATATTTCCTAAGTATGGAGCTTTTTGTGGGGATGGTCTTCTGAGGCGTATATCCTGGAGAACAATTATGGAAGGTGACCTAAATTAATAACTTATTGTCAAATAAATATGCCTATAATCCCAGCACTTTGGGAGGCCAAAGCATGTGAATTACAAGGTCAGGAGTTTGATTCCTGGCTAACGTGGTGAAACCCCATCTCTACTAAAAATACAAAAAATAGCTGGGCTTAGTGACAGGCACCTGTAATCCCAGCTACTCAAGAGGCTGAGGCAGGAGAATCGCTTGAACCCGGGAGGTGGAGGTTGCAGGAGCCAAGATGGTGAGGTTTTGTTTGGGATTATATTTAATTTATAAATCAGTCTGGGTAAAGTTGAAATCTTAACAATACTGAGCTTTCCAATCCATTAACACAATACATCTCTCCATTTATTTAGATCTTAATTTTTTTTAGTTTTTTTTTAGATTTGAGTGTATAGGTCTTGCATATATATTGCTAAATGTATGCCTAAATATTTTGGTTTTGGTGATATTGTAATAGTACTTTTTATTTTTTTGTTTATTTTTAAGACAGCCTTACTGTCACTCAGGCTGGAGTGCAGTGTCATGATCTCAGTTCACTGCAACCGCCACCTCCCAGTTCAAGTGACTCTCTTGCCTCAGCCTCCAGAGTAGCTGGAATTACAGGTTCCCATCACAATGCCAGCTAATTTTTATAATTTTAGTAGAGATGGGGTTTCACCATGTTGGCCAGGCTTGTCTTGAACTCCTGACCTCAGACGACCCACCCACCTCAGCCTCCCAAAGTGCTGGGATTACAGGCCTGAGCCAGCATGCCCAGCCTGTTACAGTACTTTTTAAATTTCCATTTTCCAGATGTTCATTGAAAATGCAATTAATTAATTTTTATATATTGATCTTGGTCTTTTGAACTTTAGAGTGGTGTTTGTTTGTTTCATTTCTTAGGATTTTTCATATGCTTGATTGTGTTACCCATTAAAAAAAAAAACAGATTTTTACTTCTTCCTTTTTAAATGTCATAACTTTAATCACTTTTTACTGTTCATTTCACACTTTTGGACCTCCAGTTCAATGTTCTGTAGAAGTTATGAGAGTAGCCATCTTCGTGTTGTTTCCAAATTTAGAGGGCAAGCATTCAGTTTTTATATATTGTGATGCCATTTGTAGGATTTTTTTTTTGTAGATGACCTTTATTTTCATAAGCAATTAACTTTCCATTTTTAGTTTGCTGAGAACTTTTTTTTTTTTTAATGAGTGTGTTGAGTTTTGTTGAATTCTTACCTGGATCTATTGAGATTATATGGTTTTTCTTTTTCAGTCTGTCAGTGTGATGATTTATATGTAATGATTTTTAAATTGCATGTTCAGAATAAACCCTTGTATTTTCATGATTTATTGTCATTTTTATATATTACTGAATTTTATTTGCTAATATTTTGTCAGATTTTTGTTCATGTTAAGGATTTTTTTTTTTTTTTTTTTACAGTTTTGCTTTTGTTGTCCAGGCTGGAGTGCAGTGGCGTGATCTCAGCTCACTGCACCTCCACCTCCCAGGTTCAAATGATTCTGATTCTCTCACTTCAGCCTCCTGAGTAGTTGTGATTACAGGTGCCCACCACCACACCTGCTAATTTTTTTGTGTGTTTTTTTTAATAGAGATGGAATTTCACCAAATTTTGTTCATACCTTCGTTCATGAAGAATATTGGTTTGTGGTATTCTTTTCTTGTAATGCTTTGACTAATGTCTGTGTTATGCTGGTCTCATTACATAAGCTGGATAACGCCCCCTCTTTTGTG